AGGATTAGAAAACTGTTTCTTTAAAATTCTCATTCATCTGGTTGAAAGATCAAGTACCAGTAAAAATTAAAGCTTGTGAAATTGAAGACAACTTTAAGGAAAAAATTTTGCATTATTTTAGTTTGAATCTTCATTTTTCCTCTTCGAAAACACTTTAGATTTTCTCAACTAAATATACTCTAAGAGTTTATAGCCTATTTCCTAATTTATATGCATTCTAATTTGAATATTGTAACGCGATCTCAACCCAGGTCGAAAAAGGCGAACGACCTTTAAGAAAATTAAAATTAACTAAAAAAAAAGAAGATAGGGTTAGGGGTCATCCATAAAGTACGTACGCCAAAAATTTCAAAAAATTGAACCCCTCCCCCCAGTTGCCATGCATACTTTTTAGTCCTCTCCCCCCTTTGAAAAGTACGTACGCTTTTGAAGTACCCCCTCCCCCATCTTCTCTTTTCTCATTATGAGTTAAAAAGTTAAAATTTATAAAAAAAAACATTATTTAAGAAGTTTAAATACTAGGGATTGTCAATAAAGTACGCCGGGCATGAGTAAAAATAAGAAGTCATCAAAAAGTGGTGGTATTCTTTATATTTCAAAACGTTCCATTTCATTAAATCAATTGCTCAATACTTTTCAAAAACAATATGAAGTATAAAAAGAATTTCGGAGTTTCTTCATATTTCAATTTTTAATTAATAAGCGCGACAACAGTCTTATAACAAGTTTAAAAGCTAAAGTTTTAAAATATAGTTAAACTTTAAATATTAATTTTTGAAATTGTTAGGTAAATAGTATTTTTTATAATTTTTTAAACTTTATTTTGTAAAAAATATTTTATAATAAAAATAAGATACTATAAATTATTTAAAAACTAAACAAACAACCCCCGTTTGCATTTATTGTAGCTTATAAATTTAAGTTGTGCTTTAAATAGTCAGTTAAAAATTAGTTTAAAGGCGGAATTATTAAAATGTACAAAATTATTTACCAACAAATAGCAAAAGCTTTGCCACAAAAAAGTATCAGATGAGGGACCAGAAGCTTTGTTAACATCCGATGAAGCAGACAAAATAGATTTTGAAATCAATAAAACACTAGCTACTTCTTCTAAATTTGATATTCAAAAAAGTCGAAAATCACAAACGAAAGTACCAATTGATCAGCCGACAAAATCTCATACTCCACAACAAGAGAAAATTCAAACTGAAATTTCGCAGTTAAAAGAGCAGCTGTTAACATTGGTAAATGTGCGCCGTGCAGGATTGATAACTGACGAACTTAAAATAAAATCGATTTTTTTAGAAAAGCAAATAAAAGTAAAACAAAACCGTCTTAAAAAAATGAAACGCGAGGCAATCCGTCAAAGACAACGCAGAGCAAGTTTGAAACGAATACTTAATGATATTGTCGATGACACGCCCTATTCAAAATCAAAACTTTCTAAATTCAATAGAGAAAAAAATGGTAGACCAACTGTAATTGAAGATCAGCCAGATCTTCTTAATGCCATCGTTAACATCGCATCAATAGGTTATTTGTCGATCGCTAGCCGCTGCTAGCGATCGACGAAGATCGCAGGAGTTACGTTCATGTAAGACACTTGATGACTTAAATAAAACCCTACTAAAACTGGGTTATTGTTTTTTGCAATCTGCAACTTATTTAAGACTGATGCCTAAGCGATCAAACACACTTGAGGGAATACGTCACATTAAGACAGTTCCTGTGAAATTGATCAGGACTGCTAATACAGCTCGTGATAGGCATATCGATGCTGGATTTACATTTGCGTGCATGCAATACATGGATGAAGTTTGTTCAATATTTGGTCCAGATTCATGCTTTTATTTAAGTCTAGACGACAAAGCTAAAGTACCATTAGGATTAGCAGTTGCAACAAAACAATCACCAATTTTGATGCATCTTGATTATTGATTTTGCCAGATCATGATTTTTTAGTCGCTTCCAGACATAAGCTTATACCGTCTGTTTATGCAGCTTGTATTATTGATCCAAACAAATTTGCTGACGCAGTGTCATATTCTGGCCCAACGTATATTGCTATTAGATCTATGAAGCATGATAGCAGCACTGCTTTTACTCATGGCCGTGATTTGGAGCGTCTTTTTTCAATTGAAAATTTTAAGCCTTATATTTGTACTCCAGAAGGTCAGGTAAAACCTATATTTGTTGTTGCATGTGATGGAGGCCCTGATGAAAATCCAAGGTTTCCCAATCCATTGCAAGTTGCAATTGCAAGATTTATAAAATGGGATTTGGATGTTTATCTAACAGGAACTCATGCACCTCATTATTCAGCATATAACAGGGTTGAACGGCGTATGGCTCCGCTAAGTCGAGAGTTAGCAGGATTGGTTTTGCCATATTACCATTTTGGGACACATCTAAATGCATCTGGAAAAACAATTGACGTTGATTTAGAAAAATTTTTTTTTGCTAAAGCTGCAGAAACTCTAGCTGAGGTATGATCGGATATAGTAATTGATAACTATTCTGTTTGTGCCGAATATGTTGAACCTTCCCAACTGTCACCAATACCAGAGCAAGATTTAAAATGGATTGAAAATCACGTAAGACAAAGTCAATATTTTTTAATGATCGTTAAGTGTGATGTTCCGAATTGCTGTAAACCTTGGCGAAGTTGCTGGAAAAAATATTTTTCTCAACGTTTTTTACCAGGTCCAGTTGTAATGTCTCATGCTGTTGAAGGAATTTTTATTCCTAAGCCAAAGGTAGCACGAAATATTCCTAAACCTTACTTTTCTTCTCTAGCGCAGCGCTTGGGATATATAGGTTCAAAAATTTCGATGGAAGCTTCCTTTGATTTGTACTGCCCATCAATTTGCAAATCTTGCAAAATTTATCACGCTTCTAAAGCAAGTGTTAAACGTCACAACTGCGTGTTTAGAAACATAATCAACACGACCTCTGAGGAAAATAAAAATGACAATGAAAACAATGATACTCATTTAACAGTAAATGAAAGTAATTCTGATCAAATCCATGTCATCGAAAACATATTTGATTGGGTGAAATCACCCTTTGATTTAGATCACCAACAATTTAAATTAATTGATTAATGAAGACTATATTAGTAATTTTGTTTATAAAATATTAAAACGATGTTTTGAAACCTATAAAGATAACAGTTTTTGTTTTAAATTGTGATTACTTAAAAAATGTTTATCACCCTGCCCTTAACCACAACCTAATCTTTAAAGGTACCAAACAAACATTCTCGCCAGTTTGTTGATTTTAAAGGTTTCCTGTTTGCCAGCAAAAGCGCTTAAAGATCAACTACACAAATCTTACAACAAGACTTTTTTGTTTTATTTTTTGTTAATGATCTTTTAAACGATTGAAAAGTAATACACTTCACTGTCACCTTGATGTTCAGAGTTAAAAATTTTCAAACACTAAATTGATTGCTTGCATTTTTTTAGCTGAAATACTTTTCAAAAATTTATAATTTCCAGTTTTCTCAAGCTTCTTAGTTTATTATATTTATCAAAAAAATTACCCTATATAAGATGATGCAATTTTTTTACGTGACATTTTTTATAATCAAGAAATAATAACTATGTTCTCATACACAAAGAATTTTTGTATTTATATAAGATTGAGCACAAAAGTGTTTTCCTCGCGGTAGTTATTCTCCTACTTTAATTGCGATACAACAACATAGGTGGAGGGTATGTAAAAAACTGTGACATTAAAATTTTGAAAGAAAGTTTCCAGGCTGGAAATAAAAACAATTGTTTTGACCATCGAAAGCAAATCATTAAAACTTTCTCTATTCCTAAATAACTAATAAACGTAACCAAGTATGTGAGTTGTTACATTTATAAAACACATCAACTATGAGGTGCCAAATAAACGTGCCTGCCCGTTTATTTGGGTTAAATGCTGTGGATTATTATACTAAAAACCCACAACATTTTTACCAAGCCCATTAAAACTTATTACGTTTTTATTGTTAAATTTAAACTTCTTTTACTAATTTTAAGGTTCCTTTAGTAAAAAGAATTTTAAAGTTTCCAAAAAAAAATTGTAATTAGATCTTTTTTAAGGGCAAGTATACTTCCCTCCCTCCCCAACTGACATTTCAAAGGCACGGTCATGGTTTTATTATTTAAAAAAAATTATTTATTATTATATTCAAAAATATCTAGTTATTTATTAAAAAACATCTAGTTATAGTTAAGTATTTGTTAGTGGTGATAAGTTAGATTTACAAGCATTAACTAAGAAAAAGTACTTTTTTTAATTAGTGCGTACGTAATTTTATATTCAATTTCTCCCCCCCCCCCCCCCACCATACGCCTTTGTACGCTTTTTGAAGACCCCCCCTCCCCCTATGAGCGTACGTACTTTATGGACGATCCCTTACTATAAACAAAAGCGTCTCACGGACATTCATACTGAAAATGAACTTGAGACAACTCTGTCGTAAGATGACATAATAATAATAAAAACTTTTGTTGTAAAAAAGCAAGAAAAGTGTTTTCTTTCTTCTTTTTTTTTCAAATAATCGATTTGATATTCGTAATCAGTGAATGTTAATTTCATAAGTCCAGATGCGGCTCATGAAAACGTGGATGTAAAGTAAAGGTATAAGGAATAAAAACAGAGTCATTAACTTGTATAATTAAACATGCTTTTGATTACAAAGTATACATGCTTATAGGGGGGCCTAATAGCTGCTAAGCCTCGTCAAGCGTCATGAAAGCTCTCGGCGGCCCTGACTGTACCCTACCCTGTACTGGATAGTACCCAGTGGGAATCCTTCGCCGTAAGGATGTCCGTAAAAGGTCCGACAGGCGTCCCTAGAAACGAGTACTTTTTAAAAACTGGAATTTTTATAACGGCGATTGTTAGAGTTTTTATAGTCATAGTATTTAAATTTAAATACTATGACTATGATTTAAATTTAAATACTATGACTATGAAGTAATAACATTTTAATAATGTTAAAAGTGTAATTTTAGTTATTAAAGATTTTTGTAAAGAAAATGTTGTAAAGTTTATATTAAAATTACCTGATATAATTTGAAATATCAAAGCTTTAAAATGACAAAATGACACTTCATTCTCCAAATGAATATCTGGAATATTGAAAGTCTGAGAAGATTTAGAATAGGTATTTAACTCATTATTTTTTAAATCGTTTTTAATTCAATTAGTACAGATAGAAGTCAATTAATAAGACCACGTTTGCATAAGGTTAAACGACATGAATATGATAAGGAATTTCATTCCCTGAAATTCATTGTCTGAATTTTTAATTTGATATTTATGCATGTTTTTGTGTGTCACTGACAAACAAAAACTATTTTCTCTACTGCAGTAGAGACAGAACATTTTTCTCATTCCAAATAAACTTTTGTGAAGGAAAATTTACTAGTATTTTTTGTGCTAATATTTAGATTTTAAATTTCATCAAAACTTATTTTGGCGCCTTTTTTTTCAAAGGGTTACCCTCCTCTATTCTTTTTGATTTTAAATAATTTAAAAAAAAAAATGATTTTGGGTAACAGACATGGTAAATTAAGGATACTGATTTAAATTTTTTTTAAAAAATCCATGTTGCCATGGGAATCACCAAATATATATATATATATATATATATATATATATATATATATATACATACATACATACATACATACATACATACATACATACATACATACATACATACATATATACATACATACATAGATATATATATATATATATATATATATATATATATATATATATATATATATATATATATATATATATATATATATATATATATATATATATATATATATATATATATGTATATATATATAAATAAGATGAATGATGCGTGTTTTATAAAAAATAAAAACTAATGAAGGGTAAATTTAACTTAAGTCAATATATAATTAAAGTAGAAATCAAGTTTAAAAGTTGTTTTCAACCAAGAAATTCATCTAAAACACAGGTTTGAACTTGTATATAAAATATATTTACCTGTTTCACTATTTTTTTCATTATTAGTTGTATACTATAATCCTGATTCAATCAACTACCACTAAATGCATCTAATGCAGATTTTTTTAATAAAATAAATAAATTTTAGAAAATATCTCTAGACATAAATTGTCATGCTAATTCACTGAGAACAGATATTGATGATGCATCATAAGCTATTAGGAAGAGGAGACAATTTTATTTGCTAGGGTTCCCTTTACAGGGTTTTGCCCCTATTAGACTTCCAACAAATGGAGAAATGGAGAAAATTACTGGTTTAATCTCGAAAAAAGCAATAGGTAAATCTGAAATTAATTAACAAAAGCATTGCATTTTTTGCATGTTTAATGTTAATTTTTTTTTTTTTTAATTTTTTAGCACCCCACAGATCATTATCAAAATTGGTTGTCCAGTTGCTTCCGGGAAGACGTATTTAAGATGCCCAGGTTTGCTGATGGAGTGTGCAGAGGGATCACCAAGCAGATAATTACTGGTGTCTGTATTCTGAGAGAGCTTGTCAATTTATGGGAGCAGGCTGGGTTTAATGATGTTTTCAATGTGATGGAGCAAACTATCAAGACCAGAATCACCAAGAAAGTCAAGGAATACCATACTTTAAAAATGCTAAAAACACTAGAACTACCAGAGGGTAGCTGCAAAAAGAAGGTGAACACTTTTTTGAAAGAGAGCAGTGCTCTTTTCTCTATTAATAAAACAAACATATTTGATTTAATAGAAAGTGATAAAAATAGGGATGATAAGGCTAAGAAAGAAGACATAAAGTTTTTGAGGCTTTGTCTGAAAAGGGATATGGTCAAATTTGGAACATTGGCTATAAATTTTGTGAAAATGCTCACAGGGCACAAAAAAAATAATTAAGATGTCTGAGAAAATCCAAAGACATGAAGATAAAAATAAGAAAAAGGAAAGTAGCTATTCGGGTAGTGACTTTTCATACACAGATAGTGAAAATCAAACTGAGTGCGATATTGACCTCCAACTAAAGTGCAGAAAAAGCAGAAAATGTTTCAGAGTGACATCAAAGTTTGCCTTCAGTTAAGTATGGAAGATATTCTTAACAATTGGATTCCAATTATGACCAGATTTGGGATTGGAGTCAGCCCGAGTATGTGTCTTTTGTCTTCTCTTTACAAGGCTGGCGGAGTTAATATTGATAATATGTCGATATCAAGATCAACCCTAAACAGGAAAACTCATAATGTTGTGGAGTCTGAGGCACAGATAATTAGAGAGGAAAACATAGATAAAATAAGAGGTTTAAAAATTGTGGTACATTTCGATACCAAGAGTTTAAAGAGATACGATTGGGAAAAAGGAATATCTAAATATGAGGATAGAATTGCTATTAGCGCATCTTCACCAGAGTCCGGTCCGCTAGAGTTTCTTCTTGGTATCTTAAAAATAAAATTAGCGCATCTTCACCAGAGTCCTGGTCCGCTAGAGTTTCTTCTTGGTATCTTAAAAATCGAAAGCTCCAAGTGAAGTGATCTAGCTACTGTAATTCAAACAATGCTTGAATACTATGAAATGTCGGATCAGATAATCGGATTGTGTTCTGACACAACATCCAGCAACACTGGTAAAAATAAAGATGCTGTAAGCATTATTATTTCCTATGCCCTTAAAAGACCGGTTCTCTGGTTAATGTGCAGACATCACATTTATGAAAGGCGTGTGACTCATGTGATGAAAGAAATATTTGGTCCAACAAGAAACTTTATGTAATTTTCCAAAAACTATGGCCTCAGATTTACAAAGATGTAAGCAAACTTCAGAGAATTGTAAAGTTTGACTGGTCTCAAGATGCTTTCAGGCCCGGCTCATTACTGTTCAAACTTGCCTTGGATACCAAAGAGTTTTGTATGACAGCTCTTCATAAGAATACTTTCCAGAGAGGTGATTACAAGTATCTTTGTGAGCTTCTAGCATTTTTTCTAGGAGTTATTGAACTTTTCATTTAAACAGCCTGAAGCTCATCATGAAGCAAGATTTATGGCTGACTGTATATACTTACTGGTTATTCAAATGACTCAAATGTACCACCCTGCTGATTCCGATAAAATTGAAACAAATACAATAAACCATCTGAAAACTGCAACCATCTACATTGTATTTTTTCATGGACTCTGCTTTTCAGCTACAAACAGTAGACAAGTTTAAAAAATTTGCAGCAATAGGAAAGGTTCTATACTAAAGTCTTATGCATCATCTATCTCTATCTTATGGTATCTATCTCTGCAACAAGTCATTTTTGCTTATGCTGATAAGGATCTGAAAACCGAAGTTAAGACCAACATGTTAAACAAGCTGCTTTCTTATGAAAGCTGCTTTCTTATGAAAGCTGCTTTCTTATGAAAGCTGCTTTCTTATGAAAGCTGCTTTCTTATGAAAGCTGCTTTCTTATGAAAGCTGCTTTCTTATGAAAGCTGCTTTCTTATGAAAGCTGCTTTCTTATGAAAGCTGCTTTCTTATGAAAGCTGCTTTCTTATGAAAGCTGCTTTCTTATGAAAGCTGCTTTCTTATGAAAGCTGCTTTCTTATGAAAGCTGCTTTCTTATGAAAGCTGCTTTCTTATGAAAGCTGCTTTCTTATGAAAGCTGCTTTCTTATGAAAGTTGCTTTCTTATGAAAGTTGCTTTCTTATGAAAGCTGCTTTCTTATGAAAGTTGCTTTCTTATGAAAGCTGCTTTCTTATGAAAGTTGCTTTCTTATGAAAGCTGCTTTCTTATGAAAGTTGCTTTCTTATGAAAGCTGCTTTCTTATGAAAGTTGCTTTCTTATGAAAGCTGCTTTCTTATGAAAGTTGCTTTCTTATGAAAGCTGCTTTCTTATGAAAGTTGCTTTCTTATGAAAGCTGCTTTCTTATGAAAGCTGCTTTCTTATGAAAGTTGTTTTCTTATGAAAGCAGCTTTCTTATCCCGAAGTTAAAAGATCTGATTAAAAAGAGGCCTGAAACTAAGGTTGAAATTCTTTCTACATCAAAATTAGAAGATTTTGTCAATGAACAATCCTACCTTTTGTTCTTGCTATTGGAGATCTCCGAAAAGGAAATTCTGCTATGGAAAGATAAAAGGCATCAAAGCATGTGAAAATGTGGAAGTTTCCCTGTCTTTTACTTACTTTTCAATGTGTGTAAGAACACTTGCAGTTGTAAATGACCGCGCAGAACATTACATTAATTCACAATAATTCACAAATTAATTCAAGATTTTATTGAAAGAACACACAATGAAGACAGGCTTCTGGATATTTTCAAGGTATTTTGTTCAATAACATGAAATAAAAATGTGATTTTTTGTTGTTATTAACAATAATGATTCTTAATGTATAAGTAGTACTTTTTATAAATTTATGTATTTGTAATTTAGGTAGCTCAGAGGAACCGGCAAAAGATTTCAAAGAATGCTACAGAGAAAGATCTTAAAATTATTTATTTAAATATTATTTTTATTAATAGTATTGGTTTATGTTATATTACAATACAATATTTTTTGATGTTTAAAAAAAGTGAATTTTTGATGTTTGAAAAAAGTGATTTTTTGATGTTTGAGAAAAATGAGTAACCCCCTCAAATTGAGGGGGGGGTGTCAAACTTTTTATTGTTCATAGTTTTTGAACATTAAAATATTTTTGTTCAATATTAAATTTGATTGATGAATCTAAATGCTCTGTTTATAGGCAGTGCTCTAACTTCTTTAACTTCTCTAGGAATAAAGTACTTACCAGGTCCAACAAACTCAGAAATATTAAATATTATTAAATATTTTTTTATTATTTAATGGTGGAAAGCTTTGTTTTTTACCATGTTATAAATATTGTTTCTGGAACAACTGCTGATTTTGGGCAATCAAAGCAATATCAGTGGCAAAAAGTTGTTAAAAAACAAAGACTCTACGCAACAATGGCAAAATGCAAGTTCAGCCCTAAATTTTTCTATTTGCTTGTTAGCATGCAAAATTCAAATAAAGAACAAATTCATTCTCTCGTTGATCATACTTAGGTAGCTATTTACCAACCCATTTGAAATAATAAATATTTCAAATTAATAATTCTTTTCTGTTTAGACAGAACTCCACAATAGGATGACTGGTTTAAATGCAAAACATTGAAAATTTTTTTTCAATGTTTTGCATTTTTGCCTTTATACATGTTCACACTTATGCAGGTTTGCACTAAAGCCAGTGTTTTCAAATTCGTTTAATACATTTGTTCCAAATCACATATATGCAGATTCACGCTTACAAAACTTGCTCCTAATCAGCCTCCCATACTCACAAATAAAATATAAACTACTAATAATAATTTTCATCCTCACATACTAAATAAAATGCACTTGGTTGTTTTTATTTCACTTTTTGATTTACATAAACTATATTTTAACACCAATATACATCACATTAATTAAAAAAAAGTTAAAAGTTAACTTTTTTATTTACTATTTTAGTTACATCTGTTTTATGTTAAGTAACAGAACACCTGAAATATACTACTCAAATTATTGTTTTTTCTTTTTTTTTCTTCTTGAAAATAACAAAGTTTAAATTAGTCTTAAAGCAGTTGTAAATAAATAACAGATTAATTAATCAGATAAATTACCCCAGTAATTCATCAGTTATTTATTCAGTAATACGTTTTGAATACTATTGGGACTAATTCATAAGTTATAAGTCTTTAGATTCCTATAAAAATAATGTATGTATTTTTTTTATATATTCATTTAGGTAAATATTGCTTGTGCATGGATTGTGTGTAAGTCTTTTTTACTTTTTTAATCACTTTTTTCACTTTAATCTCATATTTTTTACTTTTCATTGTTTTATTACATCAATGTAATGGTTGAAAATATTAATTTTGTATTTGCAAAAGTACTTTGTGTATTGTATAAACCCCTTTTTTTTTTTCTTTTTTTTTGTGAGGATAGGATTTTCTATTAAAACTAACATATACTCTTAGGCTTTTAAGTAATTATTCCAAGATCACAAAAATAGTATTACTAATCAACAATTAGAAAATTTTCAAATTTAATTTATGATATGATTACAGTTTTTAATGAATTTTTTAAGAATTTTATAGTCACTATAAACACAAAATATTTGTATTAAGCAATTAAATAATTATGTATTTAATTTTTCAAGTAAATATTTACTTTTTTCAAATTTTTTGAGTAAAAATATTTGTAATATGTATTTAAATTAACAATAATATTTTGATTACAAATTATAATCAAACTACTATTGTTAATTTAATTACACAATTATACATAAGTGCAAATTGGGATAAGTCTGTCAAAAAAATTCATAAACATTGACATGAGTGCAAAACTGTCAGTGTGAACTACCAACTTTTAGAAAAAAAGTTAAGTGCACCAAATGGTTCATAAGAAGAAATTTTTTCAGCAAAATGTACATACATCTACTATTGGATTTTAGTTGAGGCTATATTTTCAATTTTTAGAATTTTTTAAAAACATTTTAACAGTGCTCATGCGTTTGCAATCAAGTTTATAGTTACCAAGGTTGTGCAACTGCTTTGCACAAGATCTAATGATCTTTTTAATTGTGGAACTAAATTTTTTATTTCTTCAACTTTGCACTTATGCAGAATTGCATTTATAAAATTTTCACCTATCGTAAATTTGCAAATACAAAATTTACACTTAACCAGTCTCTCCAGTTATTTTAGAAATACTTTTAGCAATTAAGTTAGCAAAGGTTAATATCTCTACACCAATATAACCCTAACACTGAGGTATTCCTATCTCTACATCAATATAACCCTAACACTGAGGTATTCCCTTTTAGAATTCTAAAAATGCAAAAGATTTAGGTCATCTTAGATTTGAACTTGCAATGAATGAGGTGATAAGCAGGTTAACAAGATATTCGATGGAAATAAAAATGATCTAAGAAATAACATGTGTCCATCTATGACTAAAATATGAAGTTGATTACTTTTATTACATTTGTTTAATTAAATATTTAATTGATTAAAGTCAATTTCCTGGAATTTTCTTATTGGCGGGAATGTATATGCCAGTGACCCACTGCATGAATGCTTATCTTCCAACTATCTGGATGGAGATGTATGTATGTCATTGTCTAAACCACTTAAGCACCAACCTTTGTTTAGATGATTTTTGATTTTTTAATAATGTATGATGCAAGACAATTATCAGCAGCATTGATGCGATTTTCAACTGTATAATTGATTTTTCGATTGTTGGTGACAACTTTTACTCTATGCATTTGTCATGTTACTACTCATTTTTTATTAACTAATTTTTGTTTCTTGCATTAATATAGTAAAAGTTAACACTTGTCTTCTGAGAATGACCCCTTAAAATAGAAGAGAAGTTGTTGAGAAATCAGCCGCTGTCCTTACTTTTTATAGACACTACCCAAAATGTATTCTCATATTTAAACATGACTACCCAAAGAGTAGTGTAGCTGCGGTAAATAAATTATAATGAAGATAATAAAATTATAATGAAACTTTGACATGAGTGCTA